ATATATATATATATATATATATTTGCACATACATACATACAAGTGAACTGAAAGCTAAATTGTTGTGTTTGCATGTCCAGCTCTTGTCCAAAATATGTTTTTTTTTTTTTTAAGAATTTAGGTAGTCAGAAGTGCTTCTAATTGAGTTTGGTTCAATTTCTGCGAAAAGTTAAAGGTACATAACTTCTTCCACAGTGAAATGATCTAATCACAGACTCGCTTGATGAAAATCTTTGCTGAAGAGCCCTTTAGGAAGGTCTTTCAAAGCTGTTCTGTCATTTTCTCTGTTGCAGGTGGGTACTGAGTATCGTGCCCTCTCTTGCGTCTGCCGCTGCTTGGACTTGCTTATAGTACCAGCCTCAGCTTTCCTGCCTGCTTGCTGCCCACATCAGTGAAAGAACTGCCCGTACAACCCCACAATCTCTGTGACCCCGAACGACCCCTATACAAACAGACAAAGCTGAAGTGGGCACTATCGAATCAGCCAATCAGATTCAAGGATTTTTTTGCTTTGGGATCCATTACTGCAGTTCTTTTTCCTAGCAGCAACATTTTTTGTCCATTTTGCTTTGGCCTGGTGTGCATCCACAAGGAAAGAGAAGCTTAATGATCTAAGAAGGAGAGGAACATTCTTAAAAGGACAAACACAAGCACACCCAAAGCACTTTGGGATTTTAAGGAATTGAAGTTTGCTTGCCGCTAAAGCGTGTTGAGATGGCGATGAATATGGCTCACATGCGGGACACGAAATGGCTGACACTGGAGGTGTGTCGAGAGTTCCAGCGGGGAACGTGCGCTCGCTCCGATGCTGAGTGCAAGTTCGCGCATCCTGCCAAGAGCTGCCAGGTGGAGAACGGGAGAGTCATCGCGTGCTTTGACTCACTGAAGGTAAGAAACACATCGGACTCGAACGTTACTGCCATTTGCAGGTATTTCAGGTATATAGATAGATTTTGTTTGAGGAGGGGCCAGACTGGAAAATTTTGCAAGCTGGTCTAGAACTATCATCAGCCACATTAGTATGCCCATAGTTGGTCAGATGATTATGTTTATAATTTTATTTTTATTATGTATTTTTATTGTTTACCTTTTTTATTAAAAAAGTTTCTGTTCTTTTTGATCTTTATTTTATTTTTTTTATTTTTTTTTCTATTTCTATTTTACTTGTATTTTTTACATTATTGTTTATATTTTGTTTTATTTTTATTTGTATTATTGTATTTTATTTTTGACCATTTTTGACACTTTTTTGATTCTTTTTATGACCATTATAGAGAAAGGACAGGAAAGGAAAAACAGGAGGAGAAACAAAAATGAAAGATGTTGCAAGCTAGACTAAAACTCTCATTGCCCACGTGAGCAGGCTTAATGTGTCAAAGCATGTGCGGCAACCACTTGGCCACAGCAAGTCTTGTTTTTAAAAAATGTTTCCCTTAATTTGTTCATTCGTTCACTTGTTAAGACTTGTTCATTCATTAATTATAGATTTTTACCAGGTTTTACTAGTTTACTCATTTTACTAGTCAAATAGTACTTTTATGAGCATGAAAATAAGCAAGATTAGTTTCCATATTATCTGGCCGTATAAATGGCTCAGTGTTTTACCTCAGAATGATAAAGCTGAGGCTTTAGCTATAAATTCCTTCTTCCTACTTACACACTATATAAAAATGTAAATCAGCTGCACTGTAAAGTGCAGGGACTTTTAAATGGGAATTTCTTTTACAGGCGTTGTAGTCTAGACCACAGTACTTATGGGAGGACCCATCACCATGGCAGCACATCAGCATTGCTGTCATGACTGTTATTGAAACTGTGATCATTGTCACAAATAGGGCTGTCGCGGTGAGGGAATTTCCCTTGCGGTAATTTTGAGTGGCTCAATAGCGCGGTATGCGGTATTGCGTATATACAGTGGGTACGGAAAGTATTCAGACCCCCTTAAATTTTTCACTCTTTGTTATATTGCAGCCATTTGCTAAAATCATTTAAGTTAATTGACACACACTGGCAGGGGGGTTCAAGCTAAATCTCAGGTCTGCTGGGAAACCTTGGCAATGTTTCAGGTGTTCCCCTCCACAGACACACACTCACTCACTCACTCACTCACACATGCATACTGTACACACACAGACATTTGTTTAAATTGGACACATGCAGTAGTCGAGACACTTTAAAAAAATACACAGCATTTACAAAAAAGTACTATAGGTTTTTTGACATTACCATGAAAGTAATACCATTTATTTTTTATGACATATTGATAATTTTTTTATTATTGTTATTTTTATTATAATTTCAAATGGTATGTAAATACCACAGTAAATGAATATGGGAGTAATACCAAACCATAGTAGATATAATTTTGTTTTATATTATATTATAATCAAGTAAGTTTTTTTTTATGTTTTTGACAGAAGTCTCTTATGCTCACCAAGGCTGCATTTATTTGATCAAAAAAGCATTCGTACTGTGAAATATTATTACAATTTAAATGAAGTGTTTTCTATTTTAATATATTTTAAAATATAATTTCTTCCTGTGATGACAAATCTGAATTTTCTGAAAACGTCTGCATAATATTTTTGTGGAAACCATGATACAATTTTTTTTTCAGGATCCTTGGATAATTAGAAAGTTCAAAAGGACAGCATTTATTTGAACATTTATAACTTTTGTAACATTATAAATATCTTTACTGTCGCTTTTGATCAGTTTAATGCTTTCTTGCTGAATAAAAGTATTAAATTCTTTAAAATATATATATATATATATATATATAAAATCGTACCTATCCCAAACATTTGCAGGGTATTTACTTATCTTATATTTATTTTGTATTTTCTTGGAATGTATTATACAATATTATGTTCTATTATAGCTATTTATAGTATTTAATTTATTCTATAAAATATCTATATTTTATATCACCGTAATAGTGTACATAATGATTTTCTTTCTGGAAATTTAATGTAAAAAATGGTTTATATATTAAACATTAATTTGTTGACCTTTTATTTGGAACCTAAAAATGCAAACTAAAGGGCACAGCTCTGGTAGAGCCACAGTACTGTTTTCTAAAGGAGGAAGAGTAAAAAAACAGATGAACAATGGACATGTGTTTTGCGTCAGACGAGTTGAGTCGTATGAGAAGATCTACTGTGAATTAAGGCCAGTTAGATTCGTGAATCTAGCGCTGGCCTCGTGTTAGTGTGTGTTTGAGAGAGAAAGAGAGGTAAAGATCTAAAGAAATTGTTTCAGTGCAGATGTGAACAGAAGAACATTGTCTAGTGTGTGTGTGTGTGTGTGTGTAACACCTCTTTTGGCCATGTTGAATCGTGCTGGCTGGATGAAAAGCACACTGTGAGGCTGCTGACGCTGACTGCCATGGGCCGAAGTCCAGACACACGCACACACACACACACACACACACACTGCTCAGCTTTATCTATCATCCTTCCATCTGACAGAATGATAGATCTGCTATATCTGCTTGTATAAATATTCCCGACTGACAGAGAGAGAGAGAGAATGTCACAACAAATGAAGTAAATAAAACTGACAGAAAAGGAGAGCTTTAATATGAAGGAAAAAGGAACCTGTAAAAAAATAACAGCAATTTTCAGAGAGAAGGAGAGAGAGGGAGGAACAGCTATGAATTTGGTGTTGTTTTACACTTTTGCTCTGAGCGAAATGAAAGATCATAGAGTGGAAAAGTGGTTTGTGAGTGAAGCTGATGTGGGTGAGAGATGTTTGAGCCGGCTGGCCAGTTTCCTCATCTCTAATGAGAAACAGACCAGCCATATGGCTCACAGAGCCAAGATGGCCACTGCACAGGTTTTGGCGGGAACAAAGAAACCTGGAAGATCTAAGTGTGGTCAAAACGGACCAAATAGGTGCATCTTCATCCATGAAAACACCACATTGTGAGGCCAAAAAACATTTGACTATGTAAATGTCCCTGACTTGTATGCAACTCATCTGTGTTTGTATCTTTGAATTGGAAAATGCTTTTTTCATGTCAGAATGATCGTGTTTAATGTCATAATTACCACTGGGAGCTCATTTTTAGACCCACTTTTTTTTTTTCTCTCTTTCAAAAACATAAAAACTTCTTACTGACCCTCAATCTTTTGCATGGTAGTGTATGTCACACTATGGAAGTGAAATCTGTTTCGTATGGTATTTTTATGTATGTCACTACGTTATGAGGGCAGCTCACAGCTTAACGATTAGAACAGACCGTGGATGGCCTTCTTTTAGATGATATAATTAGAACAGGTATCACATGACCAGGCATCTAAAACACACTGGTGCAGACACACGCACGCACACATGCACACACATACTCATCCAGAAACACAACACAAAGTAGCTATGCTTTCAACAGTGTATTTACAGTGTATTTAAATATCATGCAAATCATTTGACTGAATCTAGTCAAATATGCTTTCCCTTCCCAGAAGCCCTCACGAGCTCCAATCCAACAAGACAGAGGTGAAGTTGAGATCACCCAGTAGTAAGGAGGACCAGCACTCCCCTTTAACGCTTATCTCTCCATTTTGGCTCAAGTTAGTGCAATTATGCAATGTACCAGAGGGATCTTCCCAGTTTAATGGCGCTGTTTGCTGGTAACGAACGCTCCTTTGACCTTATTCAGTCACACAGAACAAATCTGAATGCTAAACAGGATGTTCAAAGCCGATGTAAAATAGACGATATTTGTACACCTGCAACCGCACATCAATTAAATTCTGTTTTATTTGTTGCCTATGGACTACATTTAATCTAATGAACTGAATTGAATAGTGGCATATTTATTTATTGTGCTAATTACCATTAATAAATTTAATTAATTTAGTGTGTGGACATGTACAACATAAAATATAGAATTTTTAAAAAATTTTTTACATTTTCATTATATTTTCAATGAATGGTTATATATAACCATTATATGGTATTTGTAATATTACAACAACAAAAAAATATATATTTTTAATGTTATACTAAAATGATATGCACATCACCTCATAATTATGACTCTGGGAAAATATATAGCTGTCCTTCATATTTTCCTGCTGAATATTCTGATTTATTCACAGATACACTACCGTTCAAAATTCTGGGGTCGTTAAGTTTAAAGAAATGAATACTTTTATTCAACATGGATGCATTAATTTGATGAAAAAATATAACTATTTCAAATAAATGCTGTTCTTTTGAGCTTTCTATTCATCAAAGAATCCTGAAATATTCATCAGTACAACCGTTTTCAACATCGATAATAATAAATGTTTCTTGATTACCAAATCAGCATATTAGAATGATTTCTGAAGGTTCATGTGACACTGTGAATGTCACATGATCATGTCATTTTTTATGTTTTAAGGGTGAAGTCACAAACCTTGCTGCAATAATTATTGCTTTCAAACAGGTTTCCTGAACATTTGCCATTGGTCAGAAAGACAGATAGCCCCGCCCCAACCTCACGTCATTGGTTGAGCTAAAAAAAACGACACACTTCAGCTTTAAATCTGAACTTATTTAGCTGTAAGGACCTTTCAGGGTTGCCTTAGCATTCATCCATCAAGCTTGAACCTGCCCTGCCCTTTAATATTGATCCTCGTCCAAAGAAAAGAAACGGATCAAGGCACAGCATGAGGACATCAGAAGAATAATATTTCAAAGGCTAGATGCTGAGAAGAGATGTTATTTGCGATTTGTTTTCAGTGGCGAAGTGTGGAATCCAGAATCTCTTGCGAATGCTACTGTGTATGTACAGTGATGTTGCTTGACATTAGCATGTGAATTTATGAAATTACAGACATTTTTTGACATAAAGCTGATGCTAATTGCCTTTTATGTACTTTGCATTGTTATGTATGACT